GAGTATATTAAATTATTAATGAAGATATAAAATTTAAAATCACCAGGATACAGCGAATTTTTTGCTGTTCTCGTAAAACAAAAAAAAAGACTATTAAAGTCTTCTTGGTTTAAAACACTGTAAAACTTCGGAGAAGTAATAGTTGACTTGTTAGCGTTAACGATCTTCCAGACCGAGCAAAGAGATTTATAATGAGTTGAAATGAATTTATGCTTCGCTCGATTTTTGAGGTTCGGTTCCCCGCGAATTTCCTCCTTCAAAATCTAAACATTTATCTTTTTCTTAAATGAATAAAAAGGTGTTACAAAAATAATTTTCGTCAAGATAAATAAAAATTTGTAAAAACACTATCAAGTTTGTATTTGATGTAAAACGGAAGTTGGCACTTTAAAAAAGTGAAGTGGCGATATCATCGACGTAAATTCTTGAAGCAACATGAAAACAGCATTGAATTATAATGGGCCGACCCGGTTTTTATTACACCTAAAGGACTGTCTCTAGCATCTCCGTGAAAGGATCTTTAAAATGGATCGCTCGTCGCTCTCGTTTTCGCAAATAAATGCCGCTCACGCCGCAATTTTAAGTCCTGTGAATATTTCCAGATCACGTACACGCGGTTTAAGTACCCGAATTGTTTTTAGAATGCACACATTAAAGACCATTGTTGGAATCTGCTAACAATTTCTCGTTTCTTTTTTCTATTTTTTTTTTGCGTACCCACCACTTGCGGAGTAAAATTTCATTTCGTATCCTATTAGTCAAAACGACAGTTTCTTGTTATGAAATGTTTTAAGAAATCGTGGCGATAAAATGAAAACAAATTTTTGTGGTTTGAGAATGTATGTGTTTGGACTCGTTGTAGTAAATTTGATACTTCGCATAATCTAATAAAATAATATGCTGATTGCAGAATACAAGACACTCATTGCATAAGACTAAAAATTAGATACTGATAAGACCACTTTTTTCTTTGTGAAAACTTAATACTGCATACTTAGACTACATTTTCCTCAGAGAATACTATAACCTGCTTGAACCTTGCTGACTCCTGCATGCTATGGGCAGAAATCCTACTACTTGGTTCTTTCCACATAACTTTTTTGAAACTTTATGAAAGCAGACCATTTTTTTACCATAGCTTTTGCAATGTATTTCACATGATATAGACTTGTGTAGAAGAATCCGTTTCAATTTTGAGTTATTAAAAAATTATTTTTATTAAAATACGAAAATACGCTATAAAGCGATGTCAATAAATAATAACTCAAGAAATATCAACATAAGAATCGTGAACGGTAATCAGCCATGTAGAGCAACCTAGTACTTGGTTGGGTAACTCATCCTATTGATCACAGCCTGACATCTGGGCATGGAATTGATTAATGCATCGATAGTGGACTGGTCGATCTTCACCCACTTCGCCTGCAGCTGATGGAGCGTCAACTTGTGTCAAAAAGTGTCCCACAGTGGTTCGAAGATGTTGAGATCCGGGCTCTGGCTGCACCAGTCCATTCGACGCTGCGCGATCCAGTTGGACATTCCTGGATGTGTGTTTAGGATCATTGTCTTGTTGAAACAGCCAACACCGACCCATGTTTCTGCGTGACCAGGGAAGCATGTCATTTTGCAGACAGTCCCTGTACTTCTGGCGGTCCATTGTGCCCATAATGCGAACCAGAGGGCCGGTGAAGCACCTCCACACCATGACAGAACCACCGACATGCTTCATCGTGGGAAGCAGGTACTTGGGATCGAAGCGAGTGCCCGTAGGATGGCGTATGCACGATATGCTATCAGTTCCGAATAGCAGGAACTAGCTCTCGTCGCTCCACAGGGACGTTCTCCCACTGTTGCCGGGTACAGTTGAGGGGCGCCTTCGCCTACTCCACGCGCGCCTTCCTGTTTGATGTAGACGGTTGGCACTGCGCAGAACTGCACAATGCTCCCCCGATGTCCACCGTCATGAGCCGTATGTTCGCTCTGCACAGCATCGCGCCTTTCCTCTCCTCCAGCCGGGTGGTGATTTGAGGTCTATCATTTCAGTTTCTTCGTCACGAAGCAACCAAGTGTCCTCCACGTCTTCAATACCGATTAAATCTGCGTGGTGAGCTGCATTTGTGTGCATCCTTGTCGAGCACCCTATATGATGGCCTTCTGCGTCAATTCCGACAAATCTCGAACTCCTTTCTTTTTACTCCTTCTTAAGAATAATATTTTATAACTTTCAGATAATATCACGTGAAAATAACGCGACAAAAACTAGTTTCGTAATTGACTCGTTAACCGAAGCGTTCAACGAGTCAATTCCCGAATCAATGTGTCTTGGGTTACATTCAGTGATGGGCGCAGGGTAAATACCCGGCGGGTAGGTATTTCTAAAATGGGTATTTACCCTGGGCCGGGGTAAATACCCAAACAGTACGTATAAAAGTGATACTAGTGAAAATATATCAGACAATCAAAGACGTATTATCATCAGACGAATCTGGCGTAATTTAGATTAGATCAAGTTATTATGATTATTATGATCAAGCAGCCCTCTGCGTCCATTGTTGGACATAGACCTCCCCTATTCTGTTCCATTCGATTTTATTCTGTGCTGTCTGGATCTTATTGTTGGTCATTCTTTTCAAGCAACCGTTTTGTCCACTGCTCATTCTTCATTCGCACGACATAACCCGCCCAGTTCCACTTCAGCTTTGCCACAATGTTGACCACATCATTTACGCCAGTTCTTCTTCATAGGTCTTCATTTCATATATAGTCCCTCAGAGTTACAGTCAGGATCGACCTCTCCATCTAACTTTGCGCTACTTGGACCCTCCTGGCAGTGGTTATCGTTAATGTTAAAGTTTTGGAGCGGTATGTCATAACCCTTGGCCTTTTCTCTTGAAGATGTCTCTAAGTTTCCCGTAAGCTGTTCGATCACGAGTGTGGTCCTTTCGTTTAGTTCGCTTGTTTGATTATCTCTCGATACACGAACCTCATAAGAGACAGCCAAGATATACATAGCTGTCAACCCTCTCAATCTCATTAAACCCAATGTTGATGTTAGAGCTGGGAACAAGATTTGTCATAAATTTTGATTTCTCCTCGTTGATATTTAGCCCGACTCTTGCACATACCTCCTTTAAGTCCAAGGCTATCCGAACTAAGAACTAAATCGTCCGCGTAGCGCAAATTATATAGGCATTTGCCATCAATGTTTATGCCTTTTTGGATCCAATCTAGTTGGTTAAATGCACTCTTCAGGACTGTGATGAACAACTTGGGTTCAACTTATTTTACTCACAATCAGTACTTTAATCTCTTCAGTACTTTCAAGCAATTTTACCGTCATTGTAATATTCTTGTAGATGTTATAAATAAGTTTGGTATACTCTGCATTCTTGAAGTGCTCGCAAAACTGCCATCAACTCAATTTGAATTATATTTTATAAATACTTCTAAATACCCATCTTTGGTACATACCCCGGGGTATATATCCAGGAAATTTACCCTTGAATATAAATACCCGGGTATTTAACAACACTGGTTACATTAAACCTCGTAGGCGCACGGTTTTAACCGAAGCGTTTAACGAGTCTGTTACCGAGTCGATGTGTCATGCAATATATTTAAGACACGTTTGAAATGTACGAATTCAAGTTTAATGAATGAGTGAATGAGTCTTATAAAACGTGTTTTTTATGCTATTTTTTGTAATACGCATTTTTATCCTTTTTTCTTCTAAAAAATAAAATAAATTTTGACAATGTAGGGAAATAGGTATGTAGCAGTTGGTACCACCGTAACACTTGAAAATAGAAATTTGAATTGACAATTAGACACTGTCAAAACACAACAATGTTTCATGTACACCTCCCAAAATAAGAAAAATTGCTCAGAGTTCAATGTCCTCATCATTGTGGACCTTGTATTCGATGCTAAGAACGTTTTTAAACATCCATAGACAAACATTGTTACATTGACAACCAGAAAAATTAATGACCCAATGTCACCAACTTGAACTGGTTCCATAAAATGTTACTAAAATCTCATTACAGCATCGTATGCTGCAAGGAGTCTCATTACAACACCCGTTTGAGTACAGTTATAGCTTTCATTACCGTCGCGAATTACAAAAAAGTTATTTTTAGGCTTGACATCGATTTTCAAAAGAAATTTGTCACGTCTCTATGCTTTGGCATCTGGAATATAATACAATTGTATTCATTCGTTATGCATTGCCTGATAATTGTGTAAAGATTCGTCGTGTATTAGAAAAGTTATTTGAGAAAACTCAAATTATCATATACTTCTGAGCGGTACTGTATATTAGTCGTAATGTAGCCAAATTTCATCTTCACATCAAACCAATTTGATTGCATAAAGCGGTTGTACACAATTACAAAAAAATATTTGCTAAGGATAGATACTTACCGTCCTCGGAGAGATCTGAAGTCGTCAAAGTCGTGTTTTTTCAACGACAATTATTTTCCAATTGTCGAACCTTCTAGAACCTTAATTAACCATAATTGTTCTAATTATATACTGTATTCGACATTATATGATTATAAAACTCAAAAAATAAATGTAAATTTGACGTTTAAAACGCGTCATCTCGAAATGTCACAAAAATTTGACATATAATTTTTAACCTAAAAATTAACTCATTTTTATTAAATGAGTGAAATAAAGCTTGTAAACTAATTAAAAATTAAATCAAAATCGTCATTAAATATCAATAATAATCCATCAAAAGTATTTTAGGGAATCTTTTAAAATGATTAAAATTGTAAAAGGCAAGTAACGACATCTAACGTGCTAATTCTAAACTTTTGTTGTCATCGAAACACTTTTAAATATTAAAAAACATTAAAATAGATTTATTTGAAATAAAACTGATACATTTAAAATTATAACTTAATAATTAAAATAATATAATATTAACATTATAGTTTCCTTTCACACTTCTGATTGTAGCCTAATTGGAAATTTTGCCGCCTGAATTCTTTGACGTTTATAATCATATTATGTCAGTTGATATTTGGTAATATTACACATTTCTTAAGTAATCGATCGCGAAAGTAAAAATTATTCGTTTATGTTATAAGGAATCTCAACAACTTATATAGAAATGGATAATGTTATTAATCTCGTCGAAACCCAAGAGGAAAATCAAAACTTGGAAACTGTAACCTTGTCGGAAGTTGCTGAAACGCAACAAAGTTTATTTGCTGATGCATGCGCTGTACTCGGTGCTTCTGATGATAAAAATTGCACATACACCGAGGTAATGAAATATATACATTTATATTAATAGTAATGAAACATATTTTTCATTTAGGGTTATTTAAAACGTCAAGCTCTTTATGCATGTTTAACATGTACTCAAGAAGCAAAAACCGATCCAACAAAACGTGCGGGAATCTGTTTAGCCTGTACTTATCATTGTCATGAAGGTCATGAACTTGTTGAGTTGTATACGAAACGGAATTTCCGCTGCGATTGTGGCAATTCGAAATTCCCCAATTTCACTTGCAATCTTTGCAAAGAAAAGGATGATTATAACACCTTGAATACATACAATCAAAACTTCTCTGGGGTTTATTGTATCTGCTCCAAACCTTACCCAGATCTTGAAGATTCATATCCAGATGAAATGATTCAATGCGTCGTCTGCGAAGATTGGTTACACACAAGACACATTGGTGTGGAAGTGCCCGATAATCATTTTGCTGAAATGATTTGTGAAGAATGTGTTAAAAATCATCAGTTCTTATTACATTACGATGGTTTAACAATTACAAAAATTACTAAAGAAAAAAGTAATGAGAATAACATGGATGTAATTATTGTCAGTGATGATAAAGAAAAAGATGATAAAGATGTTGTTATTATAGATGATCTTGTTGAAGAAATAAATAAAGACATTATTAATAATGAACTTGATGACAAAGAAGGTTGCAAAAAACCAAAATCAAAGTCTGAAAAGGTAACAGCAAAGTTTTTGAAAGATATTAATTGGCGAACACAATTATGTAATTGTGAAGATTGCATGAAAATTTATTTGGATGAAAACGTTACGTTTTTAACAAGTCTGCAAGACACAGTTCAATTTTATGAAGATAAAGGGAAAGAAACGGTGTTAAAAAAGGAAGAAGATGCTTTAAATTCTATTGATAGGGTACCTCTTATGGAAGCAATAGCTGGGTATAACGATATGAAAGGCCATCTTGTTGAATATTTAAAGAAATTCGCTGAAAATAAAAAGGTGGTACGGGAAGAAGATATCAGAGAATTTTTTACAGAGCTTGATGCTAAGAAAAAAAGAAAAACCGCAATTCCACATTTTTGTCGTTAATTTTTATCGCATTTTTTGTACTGCATTTTGGTGAAGAGTAATAATACTTATTTAAGAATATCAATTTAGTTTTTATGAAAGTAAATAACCAGTGGATTTAAGAAAAATGTAAAAATAACCTTAAAATAAAATTCAAACAAAAAGTAGTTATAAGATTTTTATTAAATTATTTTAAAAATTACTCATTTTATTTTGTTATTTAATCAACATTTTTCCTTTTGGTTTTAATTTGCTATCCAACAACTTTTTACGAGCTAACTCATCTTCCTTTTTAATTTGTTCATGTCTAAGAACTGCAAAATCAACTTCTTTTGTTAAAGCGATAATTTTTTCGGTAATTTCTCTTTGTTTAACGATTCTTCGCCTTTGATTTACCCCACAAGGAGTAGGACGACCATCTAGAAATGTATAATCTGGCTTATCGGTTAAAACACCACAAGCATTTGGATTTAAGGGTAAACCACGTTCTTGTCTCCACTTCTGGTTGATTTGGTTTGTTGTAGTGAGTGAAAAAAACCGACTAAATAATGTTTGTTTTACTAGAAATTAAAAAAAAATGTGATGTATATTGAAATAAATATTTGAGGTTATATTTAAATTCAAGAATTAATAAAGTGTATTTGGGTAATTAATAATACTTACGGTAATACTTTGTGATTATGTTTAAATTAACATTAATCATTTTTACGTTTAGAATCAAATCAAAATGAGTAAATTTGAGTTGAGGTTATGTTGTAAGAAACGTCAATTTTTGCGCATGCGCAACATAATTTCTTTTTAATTTGGTTTAATAAATTTTAATACAATATTGATACATTTCTAAATAAGCATCAGTACAAAAAAACTATACAAAAAATAAATAAGCACAAACTACCATTATTAGCTGAAATTTAAAAAAATTATTTTGATCCAACTAAATTTCTGGCGCCATCTGTTGGGGATATTTTGGAATTATTCAGCTAAGAAGCGAACCACTAGAATACAGGTGGATTGGTTTATATATAAAAGCTCCAACCACAGAATAACTGTTTGGAAAGTGGTTTTCAATCACTATGTGGCTCCAATTAACGTTCCAACTGGTTGGGAATTCCGGGAATAATGCCGCACATTTGAATATCACTGCATCATATAACATGTGAGATTGCATCTGACGAGCTTCGAACAACTTATAACGTTAGCTGAAACAAAGCTATAATGTCAATTATAATCTAATTATTTAATCATACCATTATTACTTTATTATACTCTCACCGAAAAATCACTTTAAAATGACGTTTTATTCTGAACAAACTTCACTTTTAAAATTTTAAAAGTTGAAGTTAGCGGCAAATTTAAAAATAAACACGAATTGGAATCTATACTTTTTACATTAAAAGAATAATACTGGTAATAATTGTTATTGCCGTCTCTCATCATTCCCATTGTTAATAATAAAATTGTTGATTTAATTAAATTATTTCAGTATAGCCGCTAATGCCATCTTATGGTGGGATTTCGACATACAATCAATCCCAAGTTCTCCTATCAAAGATCCCTGGAGCTGGGTATGATTTCAAACAATTTGCTAAACAATTTGCAATGTAATTATTTATATGTTATTATGTGTTATTATATGTTATAACATTTCTATTAAAATTACTTCTATTACAATCTCCTTGGCGGTGCAGCATTCAATTTGGTCGGTAAAATAGTGCGGAGTAATACTTCTATGTCAACACTAAAAATCCTAAAAATAACAAATCAAAACCTACGTCAAAACCTCTATAAAAGTAAGATCCAAATTATTGTTCAACATGTAATATGATTATTGTAGATTATTAACTATCAGAATATTAATTTTACGGACGCCAATTTTGAGTGCGGGTGAATGTATGTAAATGATTTTATGTATTACACTGAAGAGGGATCTGTAATAGCGGCATCAATAAATCGATAAAATACACAAAGATGGAGCATCAATGGTACAATAGTTCAAAATAACGTGAAATAAAATCGAGTTCGAGTCCTTTTGGGCATAAGGGCTTTCTCCCTACATTGCAGCATTGAATTGCCCAAATTTAACCTCTCGATTGCGGAGAGATATGAAAACTTTATTTCTAGAATTCTTTAAAAAAGGGTCCTTTAGACAACTGTAGAGGGGTGGTTGGCAATGACAACAAAGTTGACTCAAACTAACAAAATTCAATTTACATAACCTAACTAATAAGAATTGTTATTCATTTGCACATTATTATTATATTTTTCGAACATCTTGTAATATTTATTATACTTTAATTTTGTAGAATTATTCTGAAGACGGCAATGTGCCGAAACCGGTAAAGAAAATAAAAATAAATAATCACCACAGTATATGTGCTTTATTTCTAAATACTTTTTTAAATAATGTTTGTTTTACTAGAAATTGAATTTTGAATCTTATATTTTTAAATATAATATTTTTAAAATTAAATCATAATGAGTAAATTTGAGTTGAGGTTATGTTGTAAGAAACGTCAAATTTTGCGCATGCGCAACATAATTTCCTTTTAATCTGTTTTAATAAATTTTAATACAATATTGATACATTTCTAAATAAGCATCAGTACAAAAAAGCTATATAAAAAATAAATAAGCACAAGCTACCATTATTAGCTGAAATTAAAAAAAAAATTATTGGGATCCAACTAAATTCCCCAATGATAAATAAACACTAATTTTATGTTCACATTTTTGAGGTTCCTTAACTTTCTCAATGGGAATTGTGTTGGTGTAAACATGTTGCATAACAAATCCAATTATTACTTCTTCCCCCAGTTTTAATTCATTACTTGGGGTAATTATTAGTTTAATAACAGCTTTATTAGATTTTCTTCTAATAACCAACCTAAAATAATAAATAATAAAGACAATATTTGAATAATTAAGATAATAAACAGTATTTAATACTTTGGATCATCTTGAAAATTATAATTTTCTCCCGAATCATCATACTCAGCTGCATCATCCCTTGGTGGTAAAATAAATGATTGTGATGGAATTTCTAAATCACCACCAATTTTTGAATCAACCGGACGTGATTTTATTGTTATTGATGGTTGCCTTGATAATGATGATTGAATTATACTACTTGGTTGACTTGATGGAAGAGAAATTGGTTCCTTCTAAAATCAAAATTTGAATCACTTCATAGATTAAAAAAGATTTAAATTTTACTTCTTCAGTTTTAACCATCACCAAGTTGCTGTTATTTTCGGGACTTTTAATTTCCATTGCTGATAGTGGAAGAATACTTATAGTGGTTTGATGTTGAGTTGGATTAATAAATTTTAAGAATAATTCGCATGGTTTTCCTGCTCTTAATGGCTCAACTGTAACGATTCTAACTTCTGGAATATGATAACTAACAAATACATTAATTAAATTAAAATTAATCATATTAAGCTACTTACTATGCAAATAATTGAATTTTAAATCGAACAGAAGTTGGATTAAACTCTGGTTTACTAACATTATGTTCACAAGATCGACATCTTAATGATTGCTTCACAGAACAATGTTTATGAACTGGAAATAGTTTATCAACAGTGCTTGGTTGAGACTCAGGTTGAAGTAAACATTGTTTAATTGATGTAACTAGTAAATAATAAATCAATTTTCATTAAACCACATTTTTGTTTGCTTACGTTTAGTTAAATCAATCTCTTCAGTAAATAAATGTTCAGGATAATCCTCAATAACCTCTTTAGGAGTAGCTCCAATCATTTCTTCTTCACTTTTCTTTTTAATACCAACATTAGGATCAGGAATTCCTAAATGCTTTCTCATCATTGCAGCTGTAATTCCAGTCCGATCCGTATAAGACATAAACCTTGGTGGTTTCTTCTTATCTTTTTCAAGTTTTTGTTGCTGCTCCTTTTGAACAACACCCCTATAATACTCAAGAATCTTAACCAAACGAACCGAATGGACGTTTTCTCTTTCAGGCCAATCACGAGTGCTTATTGGTTGATCGGGGATCCCCACATCTCTAGAACTCCACCGACATGTTAAACAAGATAAATAAAGCGATTTTTTCGGTGTGGATTTCGGATTATCCCCTGGAACGACCACTGCACGAACAGTTAAATGCAAAGTGCAACTTGGACATAATAAACAAGTTCCACAACGATTTTTTCGGATCCTAGCCTCAGTTGAGGTCATTATTTCGAGGCATTTATCGCAGAAATGACAATCGACCTGTATTAATTAAATAAATAAGCGTAAAAGATATAATATGGATAATTACCTCATGACACAAACAATAACCGCACCTAACCTCCAAACAATGTCTACAAAAGTATAATTTTGAAATCGGTTTTAAAAGACCGCATGTACAAGCGTATTTTACAACTTCTGGTTCAACTATATAAGCCATTTTTAATGTTTTACAACTTATTCCGATTAAAGTTTTGACAACTGTCACCTAAGCACCTAATAAGAAGTTTATGAGAAAATTGTCAATTCTGTTACCAACAATAAAAAATTTAAATTTTAATGTAATAAAAATAAATAAATTATTTTGTTTTTATAATTTGTTTGATTAGAATTTAATTTTTAGAACTAAACAAATTAAGTTATTTATTAATTAATAAATTAATGGAAATATGTAAAAGTGGGGGTAAATGTAAATGACTAAATTCACGTTGAATGTAGATAACCTAAAAATCCGGTCACATAACCTTTTGCGTTAAACGTTGAAAAATTATAAAAATATAATGGATTCTCTACCAGCGGGTTTATCTAATTCGCAAAAAGATGAGTTAATGGATCAAGTAAAACAACAAATTGCAGTAGCAAACGCACAAGAACTATTAACGGTAACGTAACAATTACGAAACGTTGAATTGTCGTCCTCATGTCTTGCGTTAAATTAATTTTTATTACAGAAAATGACGGAGAAATGTTTCAAAAAGTGTATCAATAAGCCAGGGACGTCGTTAGATAGTTCGGAACAGGTTGGATTATATCAAAATTTGAATTCGTATATAAATTTGTGTTTTAGAAATGTGTGGCAATGTGTATGGATAGATACATGGATTCTTGGAATTTGATCTCTAGAACGTATAGCCAAAGAATTGACAAAGAAAGACATAGGATGTAACAGTTTTGAATCTTTAGAACAAAGTGTAGAGTAATCCCATTTTTTTTCGTCTTCTGAGAAGTATGGCATTTATAAGAAATCAGTTTAATTGCATTTTTGTATTCACTTGGTGTATATAAATGTTATACATACATATTTAACTCATCAACAAATTTCTTACATTGTTGAATTGAGAAATTGTTAAATAAAAATAATTTGTATATTTACTGGTTTATTTCTTTTTTATATCGCCATCTATACGGATAAATTTCAAGTTTACGATATGTTTGTTTGGTTGCATAACGCGTTGATTTTAATCAATCTTAATTTGTATTAATTTAAATAATTCGTTTTTATTTTGGTGTAAAATCTTTATTAATTACTAAAAACGAATAAATACAACATTTTGTTTTTAAATAACATAATATCGTATAAAATTAAGTACATACTGATTAAAGATCGAGATAAAAAGAATTGTTAAGTAATCATTATTAAAATTTAAATAATTATACAGTTGGAATGTTCTTCCCCTTAATACTGTAATCCTGCTCTTACAAACCAAGTAAGAAAGTCAAAATATCATCAATATTCGAATTAAACTCAAAATCACTGCTTACAGAGCTAACATTATCATTTTGCCAAAGAACGTATAGTCAATGAATTGAAAAAGACAAAGAAAGACATAGGGTGTAACAGTTTTGAATCTTTAGAGCAAAGTGTAGAGTAATCCCATTTTTTTTTCGTCTTCTGAGAAGTATGGCATTTATAAGAAATCAGTTTAATTGCATTTTTGTATTCACTTGGTGTATATAAATGTTATACATACATATTTAACTCATCAACAAATTTCTTACATTGTTGAATTGAGAAATTGTTAAATAAAAATAATTTGTATATTTACTGGTTTATTTCTTTTTTAGTATCGCCATCTATACGGATAAATTTCAAGTTTACGATATGTTTGTTTGGTTGCATAACGCGTTGATTTTAATCCCACAATCTTAATTTGTATTAATTTAAATAATTCAGTTTTATTTTGGTGTAAAATCTTTATTAATTAGTAAAAAACGAGTAAATACAACATTTTGTTTTGAAATAACATAATGTCGTATAAAATTAAGTACATATTGATTGAGCATCATAATAAAAAGGATTGTTAAGTAATCATTATTAAAATTTAAATAATTATACAGTCGGAATGTTCTTCCCCTTAATACTGTAATCCTGCTCTTACAAACCAAGTAAGAAAGTCAACAAGACGTCAAAATGTCATCAATATTCGAATTAAACTCAAAATAACTGCTTACAGAGCTAACATTATCATTTTGCCAAAGAACGTATAGCCAATGAATTGACAAAGACAAAGAAAGACATAGGATGTAACAGTTTTGAATCTTTAGAACAAAGTAATCCCATTTTTTCCGTCTTCTGAGAAGTATGGCATTTATAAAAAATCAATTTAATTGCATTTTTGTATTCACTTAGTGTATATAAATGTTATATATACATATTTAACTCATCAACATCAACAAATTTCTTACATTGTTGAATTGAGAAATTGTTAAATAAAAATAATTTGTTTATTTTACTGGTTTAAATTATTTCTTTTAAGTATCGCCATCTATACGGATAAATTTCAAGTTTATGATATGTTTGTTTGGTTGCATAACGCGTTGATTTTAATCCCACAATCTTAATTTGTATTAATTTAAATAATTCATTTTTATTTTGGTGTAAAATCTTTATTAATTAGTAAAAAATGAATAAATAAAACATTTTGCGATGGATTTTTTTTAAATAACATACTGTCGTATAAAATTAAGTACATACTGATTGAGCATCAAAATAAAAAAGATTGTTAAGTAATCATCATTAAAATTTAAATAATTATACAGTCGGAATGTTCTTCCCCTTAATACTGTAATCCTGCTCTTACAAACCAAGTAAGAAAGTCAACAAGACGTCAAAATATCGTCAATATTCGAATTAAACTCAAAATCACTGCTTACAGAGCTAACATTATCGTTTTGATTCGTATCATTATCGACATCTTCCGTAGATTTTCTTGGTGAATCTTTCATTTTATCATCAACTAAATCTCGTTTAGTATCAGTTTTATTTAAAACTAAATCAATTTCACTTTCAGACATGAAATCTTCTTCGTAATTATCCAAAGATTCTAAATCAAACATTTTTTCTAATTCTTTTTGACTGTTTATTTCCTTGAATTCTTTCGTATAAAGAGGAGGTAATAACATTTCGTTTGAACGATTTTTATTCGTAATGGGGGGTAAATCAAAATTGTTTCTGGATTTATTAACTTTCTCAAGTTTTTGTGATGATAATTTAAGTTTTTCCTTATTATTTTCAAATTTTGGATGTTTGATATCTTTTAAAATGGGTGGAGAAATTTCTAATTCATTTATCGAGGATTCTGTTGATTTATCAACATCAAAAGTGTCGTTATTTTCGCATAAAGATTTTGTTGGATTTTCTTCGTTATCTTTTTTATTAAAAAGGGGTGAGTTTATATCAAAGGTTGTGTTTCCATTTAATTCGTTTAAATCGCTGTGGTTTTTTTTTTCTGTTTTATATTTACAAAAGTTGATTATTTGCAATAAAATTGGCGTATTCAATTCTGGCATTAAATTGGGTATGTTTAAATCTTTAATAATTTGTTCTTTATCTTTATATTCGTAATGCGAGTCTAAATAAGATTCTGGGTCATAAACTGCTAAGGTAAAATCGAGATTAAAATATTCCAAAAATTCCCTAACGATACAAAACATTATTCGACCTTCCTCTGTTGACAAAGTTGATTTAATCTTTGTGTTCATCAAAGGTTCTTTTTGTTGCAACTACACCAAAAAAGTACCAATTAATTTTATTAATTTAATTGTTGTAACTTACCATTTCATCTTCATCAAGGGCTAAAAATATGCTCGCTCTTAATTGCGCCTACAATCATGTTTTATATTTATTTTTGATTATTATAATCGAGAAAGATTTTACCCTTATTTTTGCAAAAGAACCATTTGTTTCCAATGTTTGTGTTAATAAGTCTCGTAATTCCGTGTCCTCATCAATAGACATTTTTTATCTTTATCCTAAACTTATTAAAAATCAAAAGAATCGTTGAAACGAATCGGTAATGATTAAAAAACGGTTATTTTAAACGATTTTTTGTAAATAACACACTTTATTGACTTTTTCCCCACAATACATAAGTTTCTGTTGGTAGAACTGATTGTCAAATGTCAAAAAAATATTAAACGTTTTATTTTTTATTATTAGGTTATAAATTCAATTTTGATTGTTTATTTCTTAAAGAGTTCGATAATTATTAATTTAAAGCAATATATTTTAAATAAAATAAATTTAACATGATTTCCTTGTATTGTGCGATTTATTTTTTTGTGATTTCCTGATGGTTTTCAAAACCTTAAAAATCGCTTCGGGTGGGATTTTCATATTAAGCATCTCAATAATGATTCTAAAATGAACAATAATTAACTTTAAAAGGTGCTTTTACTTAGTACTCACTGAAATATTAAAGGGTTTGCGTTGATATCTGCCAAATTTGACAATTGTAATAATTCTTCTTGGTGTGGCCTCAAATTGATGTTAAGATTCGTTACGTCGTCTTTATGTTTCATCGCTTTTTATAATTTCAAATTTGTTGCTAAAAGTTATTAAAGTTCGAGCAGATTACAACCTTATCTGTCAAAAAAAAGTTAGGTTATGTTAATTTTGACGTTTCTTTGAGATTGATTTAGCACGTTTAAAACAAGTTTAAAGCAAATTTTTATAAATAATGAACTGATAGAAGTAATAATAAGTAGGATAATATGTCGGAGGAGGTGCAGGAAGAAGAAAGGGAAGTTTTATTATCAATTTACGACGGGGATACGAATTTTAAGCAAGTCTCACCCACTGTCTTTCAATATAAGGTTGTATTTATTAAATGTTTATCGCTTTTAATTTTATTATTTATGTTAGTATGGAAACAATGATGAACCTAAGTCATTTTTACTCGAATTAAAATGGGGTGATAAATACCCCGATGAAAAACCTGATGTAAATATGGATACCTTTTATAATAAACATGTGTAAGATTAAATGGAAATAAGTCAAAATAGAAACTTTTTAATTTATCCTTTTTAGTATACCAAGTTTGAAAGAAAAGATTGCAAATTTAGTGACTGAGGAAGCTGAGCAATATTTAGGAATGTCCATGACTTATTCACTCTTTGAGTTTATTAAGGAAAAATTTGAGCAGCTTATTGAAGAACAACCCGAGCATCCCATTGAGCAATGTGTTGAGAAAATGAGTATTTGTGAAAATCAGGATATTCCAAAAAAATGTATAAAAAAGGAACATTTAACAAAAGCCCAAAAAAGGCGGCAATGGGATAAGGTGGATTCAAAAGGAGAAAAGCCCAGAGGATGGAATTGGGTGGATATTGTAAAGCACCTCTCACAAACAGGGTCTAAAGATGATTCAGCACCAACTTCCTAATTAAAAAATAATTATCATTCACTTTTATACCAATTTTATTATGTATATAAATATAAACAATATATCTATATACTTTACAATAAAAGTATAAAAAACCTTTTTACTCTTATATTATGTCTTAATTATAATATGTATCTACACATAAAAAAAAGATTTTTTAGGAATCTTTATCATAACAAAAAGAGTATCTCCAAGAATCAATATCCAAAGCATGTATGTTTGTATTCCAACCTAAAAACACAAAAATTAACTTTTTAAATTTAACCTCATCTATTACCAACACAACAAACCATTAATTTTTAAAGCTGTAAAAAAATTGTGAACTTCAAAATTGATGTATTCATTAAATTCATTTAAACAATGAGCTGGAAAATTTTGGACATCACCAGTTTCATTCCTTGGAAATGATTTCATAATAACATTCAGTCTTATCACTGGTGTGATATGCCTCAATTGACGTTTTATATTAGTATCCTAAAATTAATAATTAATCAAACCAAAAAAAAAAAAATAATCAAAAACCTCACTGATTGCAAATTATTGTATTTACACAACGCAATCCCCATCATAACCGCATGGAAAAACGCTGAAACAACCGTTTCGGCTTTTTCATTCTCTAATAACGGCACGTAAAGAATGTTATCTTGAAAATTTGGGATAATTAAATAATTTTTTGAGTCATAAACGGAGATAATCTCTTCTAAATCTTCGACGGAAAGGGTTTTAGAGATTTGTTGTAACGAACATCCTAATTTTATGTTAAAACCACACAAGTTTTTTACTAAAAAGATTAATTAGATTATTGGTTTTAATTGTTATTAAATTGTTACTTGATGGGCCCAATCCGAGTATCAATGGTTCTTTACTATTTATTGTTAAAACAGAACTAACAGTATCCAGCTTTAAATATGTTTTTATCACCAACAATAAACGCATTGTATTTAAATGTTTAAATATTAATGAACCAACAGCGAAGTAATTAGTTAATAAATGGATTGAAGTGAAAAATATAAAAACAATCCAAACATAACTAAAACAAAAAGATTTAATTAAGTATACAGGGAATTTCATTTAAGATGAAATATACAAAAATATATTTCTATAGAAACCAGGGCGTACTTAATTACTTTGTCCCATATAAAATGTAACATGTCAATATAATTTGACATTACAGTAAAATCTCTAGTGTTAGTTCTAGTTTTACACTAGCACTATCACTAGAACTAACACAAGACCTAGAACTAGAATCATTTGGGTTCAGCCATCTTGAAAGACGTGCAGCTAAATCCAAATGTTTTTAGTTCTTGGTCTAGTGTTAGATCTAGTTTTGCACTATCACTAGAACTAACACAAGACCTAGAACTAGAATCATTCGGGTTTAGTTGTCTTGAGAGACGAATATTCGGGTTTAGCCGTGCGAAAACTAGATCCAACACTAGTTTTGCAATAGCACTCTCACTAGAACTAGCACAAGACCTAGAACTAGAATCATTCGGGTTTAGCCGCCTTGAGAGACGTGCGGCTAAACCCAAACATTTCTAGTTCTTGGTCTAGTGTTAGTTCTAGTGCTAGTGCAAAATTAGAACTAACACTAGACCGAAAACTAGAAACGTTCGGATTTAGCCGCACGTCTTTCAAGACGGCTAAACCTGAATGATTCTAGTTCTAGGTCTTGTGTTAGTTCTAGTGATAGTGCTATTGCAAAACTAGTGTTGGATCTAGTTTTCGCACGGCTAAACCCGAATAGTTCTAGTTGTTGGTCTAGTGTTAGTTTTAGTTCAATAAAAATATACCACAATTTAACGCTGAATAACGATTAAAACTGGAACTAGCACAAGACCTAGAACTAGAATCATTCGGGTTTAGCCGTCTTGAGAAACGTGCGGCTAAACCCGAATGTTTTTAGTTCTGGGTCTAGTATTGGATCTAGTTTTGCAATAGCACTATCACTAGAACTAACACAAAACCAAGAACTAGAATCATTCGGGTTTAGCCACACGTCTCTCAAGACGGCTAAACCCGAATGATTCTAGTTCTTGGTCTAGTATTGGATATAGTTTTGTAATAGTACTATCATTAGAACTAATAGTACACCTAGAACTAGAAACAGTCGGATTTAGCCGCACGTCTCTCAAGACGGCTAAACCCGAATGATTCTAGTTCTAGGTGTACTATTAGTTCTAATGATAGTGTTAGTTCTAGTTTTAATTGTTATTTAGCGTTAGATTGTGGTATATTTTTATTGAACTAAAACTCGAACTAACACTAGACTTAGAACCAGAAAAATTCGTGCTTCTCAGAGTTATCATAAGAACGTCACCTTTTTCCAAGCAAAACTTTTCCATTTCAAAACTACCCAATGCCTGTACTATAGTAGAAACCACGAGAGCTGGCAGTGACAGATCGCTTAAAATGGTATGAATCAAGATATAGACGTACGACTTAGATTATTTCACCACATACATTTAAATGTAGGTTATGTTAGTAATCAAGGTCTATAGAACATAAGGTTACCCAATACCGATTCTCCTCCTCTGAGAGGCAAGGTGGGTCAGTGACGTAGCTGGTTCTATGAACAACACAACACGATGCGAGGTTTAAATATTTTATATAGACTGTACCTGAACTGTACCACAGTATAGGATATCTTTTATTCTGACTGTATCGAACCAGTGACGTCAATCTGCGGGGTAATAATCGATACTACAGAGGCATAGGGAATTAGGTAACCTTATGTTCTATAAACCTTGGTTAGTAATGGAGGTTATATGTCAAACATTGTCAAAGATATTATTTAATGGTTTTCCTTTCAAAGAAAACATTTTCGGCTTGTGAAAACACTAAGAAATTCATGACAACGCTCACAAGACGTTTCGATTTGAGGTTATAATTATAGAGTAACATCCCTTAGAAGAACAGACGTACTTTTTCGACGTGGCCATTTGAATTGTACGGCAGACATATTAAACTAATGCTATCTCTTTCCAACACACATTACTCTCTAGCGGTTTGTGAACTACGTATGGCATTTGTAAGAGCAGAAAATGATGATTCATTGCCAGCTCTCGTGGCGTCTACTATATTAAGCTATGTTGCATTTTATGTGGGACAGTGCAAGTGCATAGTAGTTTAGTAACTATGGTTACTGCATTCATATACAGGTGTCCCACGTAACTGGTTCGTTAGACTTTTTTCAGGTTCCACTATTCATGGAGGTTTTAAATTTTGGTAGCATGGGTTGTTCATTCGGAACTTTCGAACTGAAATATTTTCAAGATGGCCGCCACTTCCGGTCTACCGGAAGTAGACCATAACTTCGTTATTTTAAATGGAATCCTATAATTTTTATTGCACCTTTTAATTGTACGTAAAAAAATATGTTGACTTTGATAAAAGTTATTTGTATCTATAGTTCGTTTTTTTTCTATAATACTTGTCAATGTAAATTATTTAGGGTTTCTGTTGGTATTATCTAAGACCCTTATAAAATTTATGTTGTTTTCATGATTTTTAGCAACATTGTCAGTAACTAATTAGTTGAGGTTAAAATACTAATAAATTTTTAGATAAATACGATTTTGACGAAGTACATATTTGTTATAAAAACGTGCTACAAAATAATTAACTAGAATAAAATACCTTTTCTAGGTAAGTAAATGGCAAATAAACACCCCACAACACTTTTTATGCACCTTTTCTTTTTGAATAACGAAAGCTCAAACGTCAATGTGACATATTTACTTCAAAACATGATAAAACAAAACTCCCTGTTAATTTTGCCAACTTTACAACAATTTGACAGGTATTATAGAAAAAAAATGAACTATAGCGTTTTTCGTTTTCGAGTTATTTTGGCTTTAAGCTTTTTTTTGATAAATTTCACCATGCTCTTTAAAACTCCATATCTCAGCCAACGTTCATTCAAAAAAGCTCTAAATTGGCACAATTACTCTTCAGATGCTGTCAAATAGATTGTTGTATCAGAGTATCTTATACAGGATGGTCAAAAATTGAATTACATATTAATTGCCGAGAAATTAGAAAATTTTAAATGAAACGCCTCATATTTTTTTAGCCTATCAGAAAGGGAATTTAATTCCATACAAATTATCTATAAACATTTATTATGCACGGAATACATGTTTTTTTTTATTAGAAAACCATGGAATTTTGACAGTTTTTGGAACATGTTTGTATTATTGTTGTCATTAGTTACATTTCACGACGGGTGTAAGTCATTAAACCTTATGGCAAATTATTCCAACACCGATATTTTAAATTTATTTTGTATTGATGGCGAATGTAATAAACTTTTGCACAGGACGTGTCGAATACTTAATGAGAAAATAATAAAATAATGAAAAAATTCCAAAAAATTGATAAAGACTTTCTTAGTTGTGAACATATCAAGACCAAAAGAAACCGTATATTTTCGGTCACTAGTGATAAAGACAACGAAATAAATATTTTTCGACCTTCTCCCCTTTGAATATGAAGAAGCGGTAATTCAATTTTTGACCAGCCTGTATAAGACATTCTGATACAACAAATGACAATCTATTTGACAGCATCTGAAGAGTAATCGAATTGCACGAATTCAAGTTAAAAAACGAGTCAAAGTCACGAGTTATTTTAATGAATGAATGCTTTAATGTCTTATGTTACGAATTTTTTTGTCATATTTTGTAATTCACAATGTTATGCCTCTTTTTTAATAAAAAAACTCATCCATTTGAGTGTTTTAACCAATTAGTGTGATAAAACGGACGCGATAAAAACTCAAGAATTTTGTTTTATTATTAATATTCGTATTAATCCAAAAACAAAATTAAAAATCAATTAACTTTATGCACTAATGGGTTAATTAATAGCTCTATTAAAGAATTTAATTACAGAATAAAATGTTATGAAAAGTAGATTATCCTTATCAATGATAATAATGTAGCAATAAAACAAGCAAAAAAGGCGAGGTTCAAATATTTTATATAAACTGTATAGGTTATCTTTTACTCAACTCGTTACTCTGACTGTATGGAACCAGTGACGTCAATTTGCGGGGTATAATCGATACTAGAGAGGCATAGGGAATTAGGTAACCTTATGGTTTTAACAAACCAGTTAAATGAGACACCCTGTATTGTGACTTATATGAAATTCTCAGTATAAAAAAAGATTGTTGTTCAATGTAAGTTAACCAATTATACTTACAGTTCACTTTTAATAAATGCTAAAAGAATAATACCAAATATACTAGCAATTAAATTAACTATAGTTTCTTGACTTCCATCTTTTGCTGATACATCAGCCATATTTCCTTTAATTGCTTGATGTTGAGTGATTGAAGCTCTTGTTGCTCCACCAGCTACACCCACCTAAAAACATTAAATGTAATTTAATTTACATTAAAAAACAAGAAATAAATACAAAACTTACCACAGCTTTCATAGTTGTTGTAGCACATAAAAATTGCATAGAAAATTCAGAAAAATAAGGTACAGATAACTCACATAACATTGCAATATCGTTTAAAAAGTCTGCAAATAACCTCCACTTTTTACAATCAGCATCTAAACTGTTTCTAAAAAATACGAATTAACATAAAAAATATATAACTGAAAGAATTTTTTTATCAAACCCTTTCCACCAAGCAAAAATAATTCTTCCTAACATTCCAGTTCCATCTTTAATAACCCAAGTAATAGCTGCAGCTAGAGGGGTAGCTTCGGCATTCCCAACACCAACTCCTTTTAATATAGCTTGAGTGGTAAAAGTTCCCGTTATCGTGCTACAAAAAGCTTGACAAGTATCCCAGATTTGATAATTTTTATAATCTTCACTAACGCTTTCTGGGTAACCATGTGGTAAATAAATTTCACGTAGAACAGATTTGATTTTCTCAGCAATGTTTTTTGAGAAATTTGTTGTGTTACTTAACCTCAAAATTTTTCGACCTACAACATTTAGGTAAATAAATAAATTAAATTATTAAATCATTACCATCTCGAGTAGTATACGAAGCTTTTTCACCCAAAGATCCTTGTTGTTCTTTAATAATCACATTCAAACCATTCATATTTAATAAAAAAAACGTCAAAAACTTGTTGATAAAAGTTAACCTCAATCTACTTTCGTAGAAAGAGAAAGAAACTTTCTACAACTTTCTTTATTTATCATTTAATGTTATATTTAATTAATTTATTTATTTTTGAATAGGATAGATGGTTTTCTTTTAAATTTGGCGGAAAAAATTATGGCGACATCAAGAACTGAAAATAAAATTGGATTTGGGCCAAGAAATGGCCTGAAAATAAGGAAGTTAATAATGATCGAGAAATCGAACGATTTAACCAAAATCGATCTTTTTAGTTGTTTTAATTAGTTTATTTAATATTTTTATTAACAATTTAATATGAATTATCGAATGTTTTTCATTTTTTTGTGTTTAAATGTTGTTTTTACACCGCAAATATCTTTGCAATACGAAGTCAACAACATTGGTAAGTTTTATGTTTGGTATTTAAACGAATTTTGTGCTTATCTTTTTATACAAATATTATCTTATGATAATATAAATATTATTGCAAATATTACAATTGTATTTTTGATCTTCACGGATTTTATTGATGGTTATAGTAACAGTTTTCGTGGTGTAGTCGGTTATCACATCCGCCTAACACGCGGAAGGTCCCCGGTTCAAACCCGGGCGAAAACAGTTTTTTTTTATTAACATTTCTTTTTATTAGCTGTACTTTACCATGAAGATGATCCATGGAACTCGGAAATTGCTGTTCACACCGTTATACAACACTTCAACACTAGATACGATAAAAAATATCGAATGGGGACAAGATTCGTTTCAAAAGAAGATCATTTATCAACCAACATCACAGGTTATTTTCACTATTTTAATCTTAACACATTTATTTATGAATATTAATTCGCAGTATGCGACTTGACTTACGAGGATGAAGGTGTAATAGGCGTAATTGGACCATCATCTCCACAATCAGCATCATTAGTGCAAGGAATTTGTAGTAAATTAGAAATACCACACATCCAATATCATTGGACTCCGAACATAAGTGTTACAAAACAGGATAGCGTTGTAATTAATTTTTATCCCGATGCTACGTTACTTGCTAAAGGTTTGGCTGTGATTGTTAATCACATGAAATGGAAAGGGTTTACGGTTCTTTATGAAGATACTGATAGTTTGGTGAGGTTAAGCGAAGTATTAAAATTAGCTGGATCAACCCATAACCCTGTTGTTGTAAGAAAATTGGATTTCGGTGATGATTATAGGTGAAAAATAATTTTTTTCGTATGATTTAAGCATAAATTAATTAATTTTCATAAAGAAAACGACGTTTCATAAAATTGACATTTAATTTTGACAACTTGTTGTGAAGTTAGTTACAGTTGCTAACATTGAATTTGTGCCATATTGACGTTTAACTTTATTCAAAAATTTATTTAAAAAATGAATTGAGAGAAATAATATAAATATAATAATATATACCTTATGAATGAGTTTTCTAAATCAAAAGGGTAGTCATTTTTCACGGAGTGAATAAAAATCATTATTCACGGGTAACCAACTTGACAGACTAATAATTATTTGAAACGTTAAAATTTCAAAAAACGTCGATTTAATTCAACTTTTTAGGACTTTCTAAAGGTTTGGCATTAAAAAAACCTAAACAAATTCTTTTTTTCGTATGATTTAAGCATAAATTAATTAATTTTTAGAAAGAAAACGACGTTTCATAAAATTGACATTTAATTTTGACAACTTGTTGTGAAGTTAGCTACAGTTGCTAACATTGAATTTGTGCTACATTGACGTTTAAACTTTATTCAAAAATTTATTTAAAAAATGAATTTAGAGAAATAATATAAATATAATAATATATACCTTATGAATGAGTTTTCTAAAACAAAAGGGTAGTCATTTTTCACGTAGTGAATAATAGCGGTGAATAATAATCATTATTCACGGGTAACCAACTTGACAGACTAATAATTATTTGAAACGTTAAAATTTCAAAAAACGTCAATTTAATTCATTTTTATAAGAGTTTCTAAATGTTTGACATTAAAAAAAACCTAAACAAATTCCTTTTTTCGTATGATTTAAGCATAAATTAATTAATTTTCGTAAAGAAATGACGTTTTATAAAATTGACATTTAATTTTGACAAATTGTTGTGAAGTTGGTTACAGTTAAGTAACATTGAATTTGTGTCACATTGACGTTTAAACTTTATTCAAAAATGTATTTAAAAAATAAATTTATGGAATCAATTTCAATAGTCGTGGACAAAGTATAGTATTCTACTAGAATATAATAATATACTAATTTTATGTTGTTGAATTAATAGTTGATTTTTTTTAGGCCATTATTAAAAGAAGTGAAAAATTTTACCGAAAACCCAATTATCCTGGATTGTAGCTTGGATAGGATTCTTCCATTTTTAAATCACGCCAGAGAAGTTAACATGTTACAAGTTTTTCATAGATATTTATTAGTTAATTTGGTATGAATTATTTTAGTATTTATGGTCTATTTAAAAATTAGAGTTATTCAAATTCGTCTCAACTCATATTATTATTTTATCTCGCAAATTATTTTTGCTATGTTATTTCAAAATGTTTATAGTTTTTTTTTATTAATTTTTAATTTTTAATCAATAATAATTATTTTGTTGCTAAATTATAATTATGTTATTTGGGTTGCATACCCTGTTAAAATAGCCAAAAGAATTGACGTTACGTTTAGTTTTCTATGTTTTGAATGCTTATATTTCAAGGTTTTCGGCTCATTTTCTAAAATTTTTGACTTTATTATATAGATATGAAGTCAAATTATTTTCTTTGTACTTATCGACGATTTCTTCCTGATGATGAGGGCTCAGATTCCTCGAAACATGTAGAAAAACCAAAAAGTAAATAACATCGATAAGTACAAAGAAAATAATTTGACCTCATATCCATTACTCACGATGTTAAGAAGAATAAACAACAATTATTATATAAACTTCTAACCATGACTAGTTGTTTTTCAAGGTCTTTATTCCACCAAGGCACATAGAATTGCACTCTTTTGTGTTTTATTGGATAGCTTGATTCATTGTGCACTATGTATGAGATTGTTTAGTTGAAAAGAGGCTATTTTTAGATCCTCTCTGCTTTCAATATTTGTTTTGATTTCGTCGACCTCTCCGCTGATGTCTCTACAAAAAGAGTATCAATCAGTTCTAGGTCTAGTGTTAGTTCTAGTTTTACACTAGCACTGTTACTATGTAGAACTAACACTATACCTAGAACTAGAATCATTTGGGTTTAGCCACACGTCTCTAAAGACGGCTAAACCCGAATGATTCTAGTTCTAGGTATAGTGTTAGTTCTAGTTTTACACTTGTAATATCACTAGAACGTATTGATCCATTATATCGAGATTTTCTGCAATGCCAAATTATATTGACATAGACATAGACAAATTAAGTAGGTACGCTCTGGTTTCTATGGAAATATATTTTTGTTGTATATATAATAACATAGAAATGTCAATTCTTTCAATGACGTCACAACAAGGCTTTTGAGTTCCTACAGACCTTGCTATAATGTTTTTTGTAGTCTATGTTCAAAGCCGAATTGTTCCTAATTTTTAAATAGACTTAATAGATTTATATTTAAGAATATTATTATTGATTTTATTATAGGATGCCCATACGTTAGATTTTTCCCACTTAGATAATAACGCAAACATCACCACAATAAGACTTTTTGATCCGAAATCGCCGAAAGTTTTTAACGTCATGGAACATTTTAAAAAAGTTCGAGAAAGTAACGATCACGATCGTTTTTCACAAAAATTTCAATTAACCAATTCAAAAACTTCGTATCCGCTAAAAGCAGGAGCTTTAAGAGTAAAAAAGTAACATTTTCTCGTTTATTTTATTTATCCTTATATTGTCTTTAGGTGCAAACAGCACTTTTGTATGACGCAACTTTTATTCTTATTGAAGCTTTCATGCAAATCGGAAGAGATGGAATTAAATCTGAAAGTTTGATGTGCGACGATCAAAAGCAATGGAAGGATGGGTTTGCTCTTACGAGTTTTATGAGGGTGGTAAGCCAGGTACTACGAAGTTTTTGCATGGATTTCTTTTTTATTACGATTTTTTTTTTAAAAATTTTGATTTTTATATGGTATAAAAAAAAAAAAATTTATTTGTATTGTAAAATATTTTATTTTATACATAAGAAAGATGTCTACTATTTCCATTTTTATTTTAAATATCGGTAAGCTATTGTTTTAGTTATTTTGAGTATTTTAAACTAAAAATAAAAAGATATAGCTAAGTAGTAGAATAGAAAATATAAGATAATAAGGAGTAGTTAGTAGTAACATCTTTATTTCTTTAACTGTCGCTTCTTTTTGTTCCATTTTAGTTTAACATAATATTTATCTCAACAAATCATTCTTTTATTTATTTATTTACTTATTTATTTAAAATAAATTTAGCGCTCGGTGGATGAAGGACTTTCAGGGCCAATAAGTTTCGATTTTGAAGGTAGAAGAACCAATTTTCGTTTAGAATTGATCGAAATTCACGAAGACGGAGCCGCTCAAGTTGCCGAATGGTTACCTAACTTACAAAGTAATTTATCACTTACAAGAAATGAAAGCGCCCATGAAAAACAAGTTGCTCAAAGTTTACGAAAAGGAAAAGTTATTGTTATATCAAAGTAATTTTTTACACCTTTATTAAAAAATGTTACTCACTCATTTTTTAAAGGTTGGGTATGCCATATTTGAGGAAAAAGGATGCTAAAGATCTCGATGTCAGTGATGATGACCACGATTACGAAGGATACGCGATGGATATTATTAAAGAAATAGCGAGCAATTTAAATTTTACATTCGAATTTAAAATTACGGATGTTTATGGTACTTATGATACAACTACAGGGTCTTGGAATGGAATTTTGGGAGAATTGATAGAAAGGGTGATTAAAATTGTAAAGTTTTAAGACTAATCATTTCTTTTTTTTATTTTTAGAGAGCACATTTAGCTATTTGTGATTTAACAATTACACATCAAAGAAGATCTTTAGTTGATTTTAGCTTACCTTTTATGAATCTAGGTAAATTATCAACTTTTAATCAGCAATGGCATTGGTTTAACACATTTAACATGTAACCCTAATCCATACAATTAAATTTTCTGAAAAACAAGTTTAAGAGTCTGTCTTAAAAATCGATGATTTTTTTTTAATCGATAGGAAATGAGTGAAAAGAGGCGTTAATGATAAAAAAAAAGTGCGGAAAAGTGTAGTACTTACCGAAAATTCACTTTAAAGTTGCGATTTGACGTTTCCTTTTGGAAGTTCACAGCAATGTTAAATATGCATTTTCGTATTAAATCCTAACCTCAAATTGTTTAATTTATACCCACGCACAAAATAAAATGTTATTTTCACTAAACTTATTGAGATTACAACATAACCTTATTTCTTAGGTTATCAATGCATAACGACAATTACCTGTCGTTAGATAGAATTGTTTCTACCAAATGCGTGTTAATAGACTTTGTGTTAATAGATTGTGTATCAATTGATCTGTCAAACGATTGAAATATCTTTATGTTGTAAATATAAATGATAAATAAGCATAGTAGCTTATTTAACAATAGTTTACTTAAATTAAAATAGTTATTAAAAAAGACATGTGTATACATGGTTACAAAATAAAAATAAATAAATAACCCGTGTGACGATAGCAACAAACCTTCCAACAACAAACTTTTACCCGTCATTTCCTATCTATTTTATTAGCTGATATCTTTCTTATTATTAGAGATAGCGGAAAACTAAATGCACCATTTGAAAGCTTGATTCTTTCTCTATGAAATCGTTTGCCGATATGTTGATATTAAGCTCAATAAAAGATGAAGAACACCGCTCTGTACGTAAAATAGCTTAATATTACCAAACTTCAAGCCCTTGTGCGATTCTGTGTTATTAAGTTCCAAAATAACGTTAAACTAACTAATAAGTATCCTAATTATAATATTTAAATGGTTTGAAGCCTTTTAATAACAAATTTAAAAAATTAAATTAATATTATGTCAAATTTAAAAAGTGTTAGAATCACAATTCTAAACTTATTTAACTCTCATGCTCTCTATTTAAATGCGATAACAGATTATAAACATTTCAAATCGATTTTTAGAATCTATTTATATCTTATATTCTATTCAATTTCTTTTTTCGAATTTATCTTTGCTCCTATCTGGCGACGCTCTTGTACATAGTTAATAGACACACAGTCTATGTAACGACAGGCACTATATAGTCATTATTCCACTTTCGTATTGGCCAAGGATTAAGCTTTCGAATGAGACATTGTTTATCGAAATCGGTTCACTGGTTCTCATGTTATAATCAAAATACTATACATGTAAAATGCTATTTAATTGGGGGCTAACTTCGCATTGGTGTCATTATGAATAATTATGTTGTAATCTCAACAAGTTTAGTGAAAATAACTTTTTATTTTGTGCGTAGGTATAAATTAAACAATTTAAGGTTAGGATTTGATACGAAAATACATGGCTAACATGTGTTGTCAGTTGTAATTGTCATTTGGTTAAATGCACAGTTTGTTGCCATCGTCACACGGGTTATTTTTTTATTATTATTTTGTAACGTCTTGTTTAATATTAATTTTTAATTAATTAACTATTTTAACTTAAGTAAGGTACTATTAAATAAGCTATTATACTTATTTATCATTTATATTTACAATATAAAGATGTTTCAATCGTTTGACAGATCAATTGATACACAATCTATTAACATAAAGTCTATTAACACACATTTGGTAGAAACAATTCTATCTAACGACAGGTAATTGTCGTTATGCATTGATAGCCTAAGAAATAAGATTTTCATCCGAAAATAAGTTGTAATCTCAACAAGTTTAGTGAAAATAAGTTTTTATTTAGTGCGTGGGTATAAATTAAACAATTTGAGGTTAGGATTTAATCCGAAAATGCATATTTAACATTACTTTTAACTTCCAAAACGAAACGTCAAATTGCAACTTTAAAGTGATTTTTCGGTAAGTACTACACTTTTCCGCACTTTTTTTTATCATTTACGCCTCTTTTGACTCATTTCTTATCGATTTTTAAAATCATCGATTTTTAAGAGAGACTCCTAATCTTGATATATGCCAGAGACAAGGAAAGATAGAGATGGTCAACTCTACCTTATTAAATTCTACCTTGCGTACAGCGCCATCCGATGTCACCGCAGAGTACTAATCATAGATTAAAACCAACTTCAACTAGGATAATGGTGTAAAACTGGCCTAACCAACGATCTGGCAACATTGTTCGCTGCGCATCGAAGCGAAGCGAGCGACGTTGCCAGATCGTTGGGGCTAACTTTAACCGCCAAATTTAAAAATAACACAATTAATATTGCTTTGAAAAAAGGAAATAAATATATTTTAAATGAAAGATCTAATTTCAACATAATAATTTATTATTCACAAAACTAATAAAATTTGGTAACATAAATAGATTAAACAGAATTTTACATGTATAGTATTTTAATTATAACATGAGAACCAGTGAACCGATTTCGATAAACAATGTCTCATTCGAAAGCTTAATCCTTGGCCAATACGAAAGTGGAAATGCCCGATTTAAAATGTGACGATAGCAAC